GGCTTCAGGCCAACCCTGCTTTCCTTCATGATGACACTTTAGTCAGAGTAAACAAAAGCAAGTGTGCAGTTTTGAGCAAAAACAAACAAACAAAATCCTATCTTTCAACCTTTTCCCGACAACTATTGTTTTTGTGCGTGAGTACTTCTGTAGTTTCAATAAAACAATCTGACTGCAATAAGTTTGTTTGGCAATATCTTTGACCTAAACCATACATTAATTTTTCTTTAGTATAGCTATAGGTTTACGGTTCACCACATTTTAAATGATATGGAAGTGTCACCTTACTCAAGAAAATAACAATATAAAATATCAATACACAGAAAATGATGAAGATATCGATTTTAATTAAATGAATGCCTCAGTGATTTTTTCTCATTCTCATTCTTTTCATATTTATTTAAGCGTACTAAGGTTTCATTTTCAACAAAGTGAAACAATTTTGCAATAGAAGCCTTTAGATGATACTATAGTTTTTATATGGCTATAACACAGAGTGTAATCTTTAAGACAATCTTTTTTTTTTTTTTTTTTTTAAATCATTTTAGGGGCGCCTGGGTGGCTTAGTCGGTTAAGCGTCCAACTTTCGCTTGGGTCATGATCTCGCAGTTCATGGGTTTGAGCCCTGCATCAGGCTCTGTGCTGACTGCCAGCTCAGAGCCTGGAGCCTGTTTCAGTCTGTGACTCCCTCTCTCTCTGACCCTCCCCTGCTCACGCTGTCTCTCTCTTTCTCTCTCCTAGAAATAAATAAAACATTTTAAAAAAACATTAAAAAAATTATTTTAGAGAGGAGAGAGAGTGTGTGTGTGTATGTGAGCAGGGAAGAGGGGCAGGGGGGGGAGAGAGAGAGAATCTTAAGCAGGCTCCACTCTCAGCGAGGAGCCCAACATGGGGTTTGATCTGACTGAGCCACACCGGCACCCCAAAACAATACTTTGTAAGGCTATAGTCTGTTCAGCTGGTTTTCTTTTTCTGTCATAGCTAATCATTGATTACAATACATAGAAGACAAAAACATATCTTAAACACAAGGAAATAGAAAGCCACAGAAAGATTTCTGGAGATCACTGCAATACAACAGTTTGCCATGCATTAACTTAAGCATAATTCTGCCCAGTAAAGAGTAAAGAATACATATTTGATTTCTAATATAAATATCTGGACCTTGTTCATGAAGAAACTGATGAGAACCATTAGCCACTATGTAAATATGTAACTTAATAAATACTTCAGTGGAAATATTACTTATTCATGGCTTATTATGTGTTATGGGTTGAACTGTGTCTCCTTCAAATTCATATGTTGAAACCCTAACCTTCAGTATTTCAGAATATGACCTTATTTGGAGATAGGATCTTCACAGAGGTAATCAAGCTAAAATGAGGTCATTAGGATTGGCAATAATCCAATATGCCTGGTGTCCTTCTGAAAAGGGAAATTTGAAGCACACACAGAGAACACCATGGGAAGATGAAGACAGAGACAGGAGTGATGCTCTTTCAAGTCAAAGAATACCAGAGATGTCCAGCAAAATACCAGAAGCTGACAGAGAGGTATGGAACACATTCATCTTCACAGTCCTTAGATGGAACCAATCCTACCAACATCTTGACCTTGGATGTCTACCCCTTAGAACTGTGAAACACTAAATTTCTATTGTTTAAGCCATCCTGTTTGTGGTACTTTGTTATGGCATCCCTAGGAAACTAATAACTGAATCTCTGACCTAATACTGTCCTCATTACTGGTTTGTTTACTGCTAACCAAATGGCTTCTATCTGTTTCGTTTTGTAACTCTCCGTGACTTGTAATATTAGCAATAACAATACAAATAGTTACAGCTAATTTTCTGAGCACTTACCATATTCTGAGCTCTGTTTTGATCATTTCTGACCAACTGAGATGAATGGGGAATAAAGGAAAAGATTTTCAATGTGGAAAAAATAATTTTGTTACTTTATTAAGCACTAATGATTAACACTAAGTTTTATTAAGCCATTGAGTGTTTGGGGATGGGTTTCAAGGAGCTTTCGTTACTTACCCTAATATAGAAATTGTTATCTTGAAGTGGGGTGTGATTCTACAAAATCTGAAAGCCTGAAGCCTGAGGTTAATGGCATGTGATGAGGAAACTGATACTTAATGGCTGGAAAAATGGTGAAATCTTTGCTAAAAATCATTGCCTAGTCTACTTTAGCAAGAAGATGACATGTCTCCTAATCATTCTAGTTAGATGCTGAAGTGCCTCATAGCCCTACAGTGTGTTGTCTGTTATTAGACATTCAACATTTTTCAAGGTTGGAAAACCCAGCTGCTTGTAAAAATTGAACTACAAAGACTTTGAGTGACAACATACAATAAGAAAAACTTTCCAGCTGAATAGGGACAAAGGTCAGAGTAGGGTGTGGCTGGACTACAATTGTTCAAAGAACCCAATGGCAGTCACAATTAAGTTGAGAAGGAAAGAGGCATGAGGCTGAGGAAGCAGTCATGTACAATAAATTTGGGCATTATTTTTAGGAAATAATTTTGGGTATGGTAATTGGCTATCTCAAACTGGCTGAAGCAAATAAATCAGAAGTCTACAGACTTTATGAGGGAATTGTATTGTCCAGGAAACCACAAGGACACTCTTGAAAAAAGTCTTTATTTTTCGATTCAAACGCTAACATCAATTCTTGTACTCCCACATACAGAAAGCAGCCTTGGAAAGCCTCTTCCAAGGAAGGCATGGCCTCCCAAACTCTTTATAGATGCAGCTAAGAAAAATAATGATGAGGAAGTGGTTCCAAGAGGTTATTGCCAGGGGCCACGGAGAAGTGATAACGTAATTCACCTCAAAGAGTAGAATCAGGGCTTAGTCTAACAACCTCCTCCTCTCTACTTCACCCCTACATCTAATGTGAGACCTTCCCAGTTTCTTTGCAAATCACTAAAGAACAATGACTATTGTGTATCTGTTATTCTTCCTCTTCCCAATTCTTGGTATTCATTGTAGATGTCGTGGATGTGGATGTGAGGTGGGGGTACAGATAGGTTATGTTGTTCTTCCTGTGTCACCTAACCATGAGGAGCCACACGTAGATCTGATAGAGAAAATGGAGAACCTGGATTCTGAGATGGATGCAGTGAAAAAGGAGCACTGGATTATTTTCTCTGGGGAGACAGGGAACAGATGTGAATTTCTTTGATACACAGGATGAAGCATAAGGCATTTGGTTGACCAGAATTTGGACTATGGATAAGACTTTGTTATGTGTTGAACACACTGTTTTCTCTTCCTGGGCTCATGCATATGTTATTCTCCCATGGAAATATATTGGGAACTATGTGACTTATTTAGTTCAATAGAATGTATGCAGAAATAATGTAAGACATTTTTATACTCAGCCTTTAAAGCAATACTGCACAATTCTCTAATTCTGTATTTGCCTTCAATGTTAACCTAATATGTTTTTTCAGATACACTAAAAGACAGAAGCATCTTTGGTCCCTGAGTCACCACTTGGAGGGGAGCTGATAAGGAGACCTGCCTACATCTGCATCAGACTGTGACCTGAATGAAAAATAAATAGAAATTCCAAGGTCTTTTTATTATCACACAGCCAAGTCTATACAGCCTGAAACAGATACCGTAAGGACATTGCAGCCGAGGCCAAGCCCAGTTCTATTCAGGTTTGCAACTGGTAAAAGAAAGTCTAGAGAAATATAATTCAAAATGTAGTTCAGCTTTGCATCCTGAGTACAAACAAGGGCACTATGTCCCAAATTACCCTGGGTCATAACTGTTCTAGTGTGCAGTTTCTCTGCTGAAACCAGAATTAAGTTTTCTTTAAAGACTAGACAGAAGGATGTTATAATGTCTATAGAAATAAGTAGTAGAGTTTTAAAGATATTTCATAGTGTAGCCAGAAGAGTTTTATATTTCACACTTATGTTTATCTGATGTATCTCTGAGCATCAGTTTTTCCAGTTTCCATGAGTTCTTCTCTAAATTCTCATACAGAGGGAGCAGCCAGGGTTGTCCTTTTCTTTCCCTCAATTCTGCAGATACAGATATCAAAAAGACAATACAGCTAAAGAAAGTCATCAATTCTACTCCGTGATGGCCTCTCGTCTGGTGTCCTTTTCCTTATTCCCCCATAGCATTCTCTAGAAGGAGCTAAAAATTATGCTAAAGTTAGACCTGGTTACCAATCTAGCATTTGGCAAGTAGTTAACTCTCACTACTCTCCTTATTTTGCAATGGTTCTAGACAAGATGTGCTCAGTTTTCTTCTATCATATTTCCCACTATTTTTTAAAACTGATATATGAAATTCTTTATATGCAATGAGAGGAAAGCTTTTTTTCCCACATGTACTACATTTTCTCAGTTGCCTTTTTCCTTTTGATTTTGCCTATTTTTATAATTTTGGTTTTTCTTTGTGTTTTTATATGAAGATCTTCTCCCTTCCTTGATTATAAAAACATCTACCAATTATTCATGTAAATAATTTTATTTCCTCAAATTTTAGAAATTTAAATCTTTGATCCATCTGGGCTTAATTTTACTATAAAATGTGCAATGGAATCACAATTTTTAAAGTATTTATTTATTTAAAGAAAGAGAAAAAAAGAGAGGGTGAGAGAGAGTGAGCATGAGTGGGGGAGGGGCAGAGAAAGAGAATCCTAAGCAGGCTCTGCACTATCAGCTTAGAGCCCAACACGCAACTGGATCTCATGAATTAAGAGATCATGACTTGAGTCAAGATCAAGAGTCAAACGCTCAACCAACTGAGCCACTCAGACATCCCTGAATTCAATTTTTTTTCAAATGGCTAAGTGGTAGTCGCAACAATGTATTTTGGAATAGAGTTTTGCTTGTAACCCTGTCAATTTATTATTCCCCTATTAAATTCCCATTTGTACTTGTTGCTATTTCTAGAGTTTCAATTATTTTCATCCTTTATTTAAAAATATATTCTCATGTACCTTTAACTTTTTTCATGGTTTTCCTCTTACTGATTTAATTATTCTTTGTTTTGCTGATGTTTATTCATTTGCCTTGAATGTTGGTATTACCACTTTGGTCCGTTCTCCTTCCATTTTTTATGTTTCTCCTAGAAAGTCACATTGAAGTTGGTAATTTCAAATAATATTCTTTAGAAAGGACTCTAAAATTAAAATTCTTGGTCTGGGTTCTCTCTAAAGTGCCAGAATAGTTACCTACTCTGTGTGTCTCTTTATCCTATGATCATATTAAATTTGATATATCTAAAATGGGAGCTCATCATTCCTACTATCTCTCTCTTTTTCAGATTGAATCTGCTCTTTTTTTTTTCATCTTTCTTACTTTACCCAAAAGCAACACTGTACCACTGAATGATCAAAATGGGAAATTCAGATTCATATATCTGATTAATAAATAAAGTATTTTGTATCACCCTTAATTCATAATTTTCTTGTTAATTAAAGCTAAGAAACATTTCTCAAATACACATTCTACCCCATCCATTAATTCAGGATTTGCCTTTTATTTAGACCAAGCCAAAAGCCTCTTTATTAGTTTCTCTTTCTTCAATATCTGCACTTTGACCCATTCATCCTTAAGATAGTTTCCAGAGATATAATTTAAATCATAGATCTGATCATTGCACTCTCCTACTTTAAAGCATTATGTTTCTCTATAATACCAAATTTCTAAGCATTTCAACATTCTTCATTTTTGTCTTCACTCTGTCTAGTTCTGTCTTTCACTACAAACCTTGTGTTACTAGCTATTTGGGTTGCTTACTTCCACCAAACATGCAATTCATGTTCAAAAACCTCCTTTCACATTTCCCAACAATTGCCCTCAATCCAATTTTCCTTCTTTGTCTTCTTATCATGTACCTATGTATCTGTCATGGCCTATCTAATTGGTAGTTTACTTTTACCTTTCCAGGTATTCTATTTTTGTCCTTATTCACTTTAAACAAACTTTCACAATAACATCTTGTAAAAAATATTAAAGTTACTTATTTGAATGGCTGCCCTTGAGGACAATTCTTTTCTTATTCATATTCTTATCCACAGCATCTAGCAAGGTACATGCCATATAGTATATATTCAAAAATTCTCTTTCAAATTGAATTCAAACTGGAAGAAAATTTCTAGTAACATTTGACTGTATTTTTAATGCAAAAGCATACATTCCATGTACCTCATCCAAATTGGTAATCATTTCAGTGAATTATTCTTCATTATTGATTACAGTCTTGCTGGGGGAGTAATTCTAGGTCCCTCTTTGCTGTGACTTGGGATAATGGGTTCACTTTCTTCTCTGTGTCTTTTGGAACAGCCAGGGAAGGGAGACAGCATAATACAAGGACCAGAGCAAATGATAAAAAGAATAGAATGAATTATACAGTGACTGAGGAACTACCTGGAGGTCACTCATTTCCTCACCATCAACAGCATTCCAACTAGAGTGTGAGAAGGAGCTTGATTGCTTCTTATTCTTGACTACACAAAAGCTTCTGTATTGAATTAAATGTCACCTCTACCTTAATCAATCCATTTGAAATTATAATCTCTACAAACGCCTGATCCCCTTACTTTGCTCAACTTCTAAAAAATTTACACAGTACTGCTTATCTTTTAACATAGTACATCATTTATTTGTTAATAAATTTATCCACTCTAGGCTTTTTGTGTTTACTATTTTCATGGTATACCTTTTTTCCACCCATTTACTTTCAATCTGTCTGTGTCTTTATATTCAAAAGATGTCTCTCATAGAAAACATATTGTTGGAACATACTTCTTCTCTATTCTGAAAATTTCTACTTTTTATGGAAAGTTTATGTTGTTAACATGTAATACACTTATTGATGTAGTTGGATTGGGTCTACCATTTTATTATTTGTCTTCTCTCTGTCTCCATTGTTTCTCTTTGTACTCCTATGACTGACTTATCACTTAGTATATCTTTAAGATTTTTTATTTTAATTCATCCATTGGCTTTTAAGTTATGCCTATTCACATATTTTTAAGTCTACTCTAGGATTAAAGTATGCATACTATCTATTCACAGTCTATTTGGAATTGATATTGTGCTTGCTCATATAAAATATATATAGGCATACATACTAGAAACATACAGGTTCATTAATCTCCAAATCCCTTATGTATAATTATCACACATATTACATTAACATACATTATAACCCCCAAGAGAAAGTGCTATAATTTTTGCTTTAATCAGTACTATATACTTCAAAAAAAAAAAAAAACTAAATTGAAAGTAATGGTTTTTGTATGTGTCCAGATACTTAACATTTTTTATTCTCTTCATTCTATCCTGAAAATACAAGCGTTCATTGGGTATCGTTTTCCTTCGTACTGAGCAAATTCCTTTAGCAAAGGGCTAGCGACAAATTTTTGTAGTGTTATTTGCAAACATTCTTTTTTTCTTCTTCATTCTAAACAAAATTGTACCCACTGGATATAGAATTCTAGATTGATCATGTTTTCATATTAAAAAAATTAAGATATTGTTCCCAATGCCTTCTGATCTTCATATTTTACAATGAGAAGTCAGAAATAATTCACATTGTTGTTCCCCTCTGTGTAATGCGTTATCTTGCTACTTTCAGGATTTTCTCTTTATTGTTAATTTTTAGAATGATTCTGTTAATTTTGGTACTGCTTTAAGCTCACTGAGCTTCCTGAGTCTATCAATGTATTGCTTTCATAAAATTTGGGGAGATCTGAGTCATTGTTTATTTTACCTGCTATATTCTATTTCTCCCTGCATTATTGGACTCCAATTGCACATATATTCGAACTTTTCATATTGTCCCACAGATACCTTTTTCAATTCTTTTCAATATTTTTCTCTGTTTATTAGATTAGATGACTTCTATTAATATACCTTCAAGTTCAAAGATTCATTCCTCTATTATCTCCATTATCTAGTAATAACCATCTAGTAAATATTTTTCAGTAGCTGAATATTTCATCTAAAGGGTCTTCTTTGATTTCTTTATAGATTTGAAAGATTTTCTCTATTGAAATATTTTATTTTTTGTACTACAAGCATATTTTCCTTTACCTTACTAAAAGTAGTTGTAATAGTTGCTTTATAAAGATGTTGTTTACTAATTTAAACATCTGAACCATTTCAGGGCAGAACCCCATTGGCCGTATTTTCTTTTGAAAAAATGGATTCTTCATATGTTGAGTGACTTTAAGCTATAGTGTGGACACTGTAAATGATATTTTTTGGAGGCCACAGATCCTGTTATAGTCTTCTGAACAATATTTATATTTCTGTTTTAGTAGGCAATTTACTTAGTAAAAGTACAAACATTGACTTTATCAGAAATATCAGTCTCGATGCAGTTACTTTTCTCCCCATGGTAGGCTGCTTGCAATCTGTTCTGTTCTTATATAAGTCAGAGATCAGCCAGAGATTTGGGCAGCACTGGTCAAACTTTGAGTTTTCTCTTTTGCTTTTCCCTTTACAATACTGTCCACCAATTGTGGTTGCCCTAAACTCTGTGTCCTGGTTCATGAAGCTAGAATGACTATATGATTTCAGTGTTTTACCTGCCTTATATGGAGCCACTGGCCTCCTGTATCAGTTTGGTCTCAAGCTAAAGGATATGACAACAAGAAATGCATCCTGTCCGTTTTTCTTGTTTTGAGTCTCCATCATAATATATATGCTTTTCTTCTCTCTTCAAAGCCTTTAAGTAGTTCAGTTCAGTTGTTGAACAGAGTTTGTAGTCATTAGCTTTGGGAGGGACAGGTGGTTTGAAACTTACTCAAACTCATTGGAGCAGAACTTCTATCATTTATTTACCCACTTTGTTATTATTATTGCCTGTGTACTTGGGACAAGGATCATTCCTTTTTTAATGTTCCCAAATGTTTGCAACATAATACTGAATATACGTTTGTAAAATGAATGAATGCAATAGAGGTACCTAAGAGTGGCTTTAAGTAATAAGATAAATATGTATGGAAAAATATAAAAATGTATTGAAAGGTACTAAGTAGTATTGCCAAAAATGGAAAAACGCAATCTAAAAATGCATTAGTTATTCATAAATGAATTGGCACATAAAATTACACTAAAAATCATAACTGGGTACCTTTTATGGACATCGATCAGCTGAGTCTACAAATTTATAAGGAAGAACAAAAAGCCATGACAAGCAGGGACAGTTTTGGAAAAGGAAAAAGCAAACTGTACTTCATTGACAATTTAAAAACTTACATAAACCATATAATTAATTTAGTATGCTCTTTGCACAAAATAGAAAAATATTAATTAAATATAAGATAAAGACAAGCAGAGCCATATATATATATGGGTATTTCACATATGACATGTGATAAAGAATCAGTAAATTCTTTAATAAACGGTGATAAGAAAGTTAATTATCTGCACATAAAAATAATATTTCCTCACTTGTCTAACATAAATTCCAGAAAGATGAAGAACTAATTATCTACAAAAATCAAAACTTGAATTCATTAAAATAATAATAGTTGATATCTGTATAACTTTGTGGTTAAAAATTTCATAAATTAGAAAGCAAAGGCACAAATTTCAAAGAAAAAATAATAAATTTCAATTTTTTTAATTTAAAAGGGTTGAACTTCAAAAAAAATCTTTTCAGTCCCTAAGATTGTAAAAGAATTCTTATTCTGACAATTTAACAAGCTATTAGGAATCAATAAGGGAAAGACAAAGACTCTAGTATGCTAGGTGGAAATCCATATGGAAGGCAATTAACAGATGAAAAAATGCACAATCAAAATTGAAAAATATGTACAACATCACCAAGAATCAGGAAGATACAAATTTTAAAGATGTGATATCCATTCACTCTCATAAGCTTGGCAAAAATTAAATTCTGATAATACCCAGCATTGAAAAACATGTAGGGAAATGGAAACTCACACACTATTAGTAGGAGTATAAGTTAGTCACTATTAGACAGTAATTTTCAATATCTAGGAAAGTTGAAGGTGTGTATATTTTAAATCTTAGAAATTCTACTAGGACATAGAAAAACATTAGCACTTATGCACAAAGAAACAAATACAAAAATGTACATAAATATTT